GGGATCAATGAGGCAACAGCCGTCCGACCTGGAGGGTGGCAATCTGGCGCGGTGAGCAGCTACGTGTGGTCTTTCACAGTCCACCTCACCCTGTACAGGAGGGGTGCAGGCGGACTTGTACAGTGATGCAAGACAGTAAGTTTTGGATCCAGGCCATTTGCTAGTAGTCGCTCGCGAGTAGTGGATCGCGCTCGTCTATTTCGGACGCCTTGAAAAATATCCCTGGCGAAGACACCACCCCCTCTGTAAACGAGTGGCGATTGCTAGCAGGAACGCTCAAAGCACATGTACATACCGAGGGATCTGCAGTACGCACAAACGCTTCGCCACATAACGCCTTACACGCTTCGGTGGAGCTCCCTATGCGGCCACCAAACGTGTGAGGGGCGTGCCAGATGGACCCGAGTAAGCAGTCCGAATGGGGCCACTAAACATGTGAGGAGTGTACCGAGATGGAACCGAGTAATCATGCGGAAGCAGTCAGTGGGGCCTTCGGTAGAGCTCCCTATAGGGCCACGAAGCGTGTGAGAGGTGCGCCAGCATTAGCCCGAGTAACCACGCGGACGCTGCCACTGAAGCCTGCGGTGGAGCTCCCTATGGGGCCACGAAACGTGCGAGGGGTGTGTAGAAATAGACCCCCGAGTAACCCTGCGGACGCTACCACTAAGGGCTTCGGTGGAGCTACCTCTGGGGCCACGAAACGTGTGAGGGGTGTGCCAGAAAACGAACGCGAGTAACCATGCGGACGCTGCCACTGGGGCCTTCGGTGGAGCTCTCTACGGGGACACGAAGCGTGTGAGGGGTGTGCCAACATGGGCTGGAGTAATCATGCGGCCGCAGCCATTGGGGCCTTTGGTGGAGCTCCTTGTGGGGCCGCGGAACGCGTGAGCGTGTGAGGAGTGTGTCAGACTGGACCCGAGCAACCATGCGGTCGCAGTTACCGGGGGCCTTCGGTGGAGCTCCCTGTGGGCCCACGAAACGCGTGAGGGGTGTGCCACCATGGACCCGAGTAATCACGCGGTCGCAGCCATTGGGGCCTTCGGTGGAGCTCCCTGTGGGCCCACGAAACGCGTGAGGGGTGTGCCAACATGGACCCGAGTAATCACGCGGTCGCAGCCATTGGGGCCTTCGGTGGAGCTCCCTATGGGGCAACGAATCGCGTGAGGGGTGTGTCAGATCGGACCCGAGTAATCATGCGGACGCTGCCATTGATGGCTTCGGTGGAGCTGCCTCCGGGGCCACGAAACGTGTGAGGGGTGTGCCACCATGGACCCGAGTAGTCATGCGGCTGCAGCCACTCGGGCCTTCGGTGAAACTACCTGTGGGCCCACGAAACGCGTGAGGTGTGTGCGCCAACATGGACCCGAGTAATCACGCGGTCGCAGCCATTGGGGCCTTCGGTGGAGCTCCCTATGGGGCAACGAAACGCGTGAGGGGTGTGTCAGATCGGACCCGAGTAATCATGCGGACGCTACCATTGATGGCTTCGGTGGAGCTGCCTCCGGGGCCACGAAACGTGTGAGGGGTGTGCCAACATGGACCCGAGTAGTCATGCGGCTGCAGCCACTCGGGCCTTCGGTGAAACTACCTGTGGGCCCACGAAACGCGTGAGGTGTGTGCCAACATGGACCCGAGTAATCACGCGGTCGCAGCCATTGGGGCCTTCGGTGGAGCTCCCTATGGGGCAACGACACGCGTGAGGGGTGTGTCAGATCGGACCCGAGTAATCATGCGGACGCTACCATTGATGGCTCCGGTGGAGCTACCTCCGGGGCCACGAAACGTGTGAGGGGTGTGCCAACATGGGCCCGAGTAATCATGTGGCTGCAGCCACTGGGGCCTTCGGTGGAACTACCTGTGGGCCACGAAACGCGTGAGGGGTGTGCCAGAATGGACCCGAGTAATCACGCGGACGCAACAATCGGGGCCTTCGGTGGAGCTCCCTATGGGACCTCGAAGCGCGTGAGGAGATCGTGATGGTGATGACGACGGTTATGCTGATGATGGTGATGATGATGATGATAATGGTGGTGACCAGAATGATACGACATGGACGATAAAGGCATAGGAGCGGAGAGAAAAGGAGGAGAAGAGGAAGAGAAGGAGACGTGCGGCGCTGCGCATTCAAAACGAGGACCCAGGACACAGGCGGGTTGGGAACAAGGGCCCAGCACATTGGAGGGTTGGGAAAAGGAGGAAGGAAAAGGAGGACGAGGAGGAGGAGGAGGAGGAGGAGGAGGAGGAGGAATGAGGGAGGGAAGGAGACGCGCGGCGGTGCGAATTCAAAGCGAGGACCCAACACACAGGAGGGCTGGGAGAAGCAGGATCAAAGACCCCGGGCCGCAGATTCGCCAACGGGCAGCGCACCCGACTGCCTGAAAACCAGCATGTGATACCCATCATACCGACAAGCTGCATAAGGAAATGCGAGGTCGGCGGGCATGTGCTATTCCCCGTCCGTTGTTTCCTCCGCCTCGTCCTCTCGCTTCCGTTGCGAGTCCCCCACCAGGGCTCGAGCTGCACGGTGTCCTGGCGACTTCGTGGACAGCTCACCGACAAAACAAAACGAGAACGACCCGCACAGTGCAGCTCGAGCCCTGTCCTCCATCCTCATGTAGATGGACAAGATATTCGAACCCTTCCACATTCGAGGGAGAGATTCGAAATCACCCCCGCGCCCCCCGACATCTGTGTTGATCTCAGTAAAGGCGGTGCTTCGGGGTTCGAATATTTCTGTCCACTCTGGCCCCCCCCCGTCGCCGCGCCATCAATATGAATTTCGGGGGGTCTGGGGGGCATCTTGGGCCACAGGGTTCGAATATAAGGTCCATGCACGGTCCGTCCCTGTCCCCCTCTTGATCCTTCCCCGTCCGCCCTCGTTTCCCGCTCCGCGGGGTCTTCCCCCGTCCTCGCCTGTTCCCGCGCCCTCCGTGTCTTTCTCCTCCTCCCCCTCCTCCTTCTCCTCCTCCTCCTCCTCCTCCTCCTCCTCCTCCTCCCACTCCTTGTGCTGCCCCGGGTCGCTCTTGTCATGCGCACCCCGAGCCACATCCCTGAGGTACCTCCTGCCAGTCGTAAGGCTTCCGCCGTCCTCGGTTTCGGTTCGGCTCACTGCGTGAGCGGCGGTTCAGCGTAGACTATTCCGCCAGGCAGGGCGTTCTCTGTACGCTCGTTTCCTCCTCCCCCTCCTCCACGATGTCCTCCTACAGGACCTGTCGCGACGACCTCCCGCGATGTTTTGATTCAAGGTGGTTTCGACAGTAGGGGGGGGGCGTTGAAGCGTAGCTTTGGGGGCACATGCGCGAGGTGCCATGTCTTACGTGGGCGCTTTGCATGTTCAAACGCGCTGCCGCCTTTACATGCCAGCATTTCTCATGCCAATGGTGCGAACATGTGCTGGACACGTGGCTTCGGAATTTGCACCTTAGTGTATATATATATATATATATATATATAGATTGAAATCGTTCCAGTTCGGATCTCCGGTTTCCTGGCTCCTGGCAGGTGGTTCACGCTAGCACATGGGGACCTCTGCTTGTTCGCCATTGGTCTCGACGCAGCGGTGCTGTCTTGGCGTTGGGATTTCCGCTCGTTCCTCGTGCACTTCTGACCCCAAACCGACACATCAAATAAGAAGATGTCCAGCCAGCAGGTCCCCCCACGAGACTTCATTATTCCCCGATCCGCCTTGGTGCCGCTGCTGAGACACCTTGGCGAAGCTCGAGGCCCACGAAGGACGTGCCTTTGACTTATTCCCAAAACGGTGCGCGCTGAGGGGCTCGGACTCCCACCGAGTGCGCAACCTATGGCACCTCCAATCGCAGGCTGGTTTATTTTTGGTCGCCGAGCTCGCAACCAATGGCGTACCAAATAGCAGGCCGTGTTATGTTCGATTGCCGATTGCGCAACTTAGCGTGCAAAGGACAGCAGGCCCGTTTTGTTGTTCGGCTGCCGAATGCACAATTTGTGGTGCAACACATGGTGCGCTCCACGGATGGCGCAAAGTACGGCGCAATTCGCGGCACAGTGCAGGACGCAACCTGGGGGGGCAACCTGTGGCGAAATCCACGGCGCAACCCATGGTGCAAGACAGGGCGCAACCTGTGGTGCAACGCAAGGGTGGCGCCACCGATGGCAAGCTCCATCCCGGCCCGCCTCTTTCGAGCCGCGCCCCGCCGCGGCTGCGACAACTCCGCAACGGCCTCGACGCCTCCCTCGATCCCTCCGCGGCGGCGGCGGCCGGCCGCGTCGGTGGCCGGCGGCGATGCCCGCGCCCGCCGCTCCGCTCCGCCACCGCGTGTGTCCTCCTCCTCCTCCTCCTCCTCCTCCTCCTCCTCCTCCTCCTCCTCCTCCTCCTCCTCCTCCGCCTCGCCCGATCCTCCGCCGCCGCCGCCGCCGCTGTGTCAGCGGCCGCTCCGCGTCCGCCACTGTCGGCGGCGCCCGCCGGCGGCGGCGGCGTCGTCGGCGAGCCGCTGCGCAGCGCCGCCGCCGGCGGCGAGGGCGGAGCCGCCCAGCCCGGGGAGAGGGAGCGGTGGGGCGCGCCCGGCCGGTCGCCGCCGGGCCCTCCTCGCCGCCGCCGAGGCGCCGCCCCAAGCAGCAGGCAGTGCGTGGTAAAAGCGATATAACATAAACTTTTTCGCTCGGGGGCGCCTGTCCCTGGGCGGCTGGAAAGTTTATACCCATACGGTGCCACCGTAAGGGTATGAATTTTCCAGCCGCCCAGGGACAGGCGCCCCCGACAGCGAAAAAGTTTATGTTATACCGTTCTTCGCCAGTTAATGCAGGCCCACCGCAGAATGTTCCGAGGACCTGCCGCGGTTGGCACGGCATGTTCTGAGAGCAGTTCTGGCTGAGGCGGTCTTGTTTTGACACCTCGGGCTCACGTCCTGAGAACATGGGTTTTGTTTTGGGAACATGTTTGGGGTTCCAAGGAAACGCCGTGGTAGGCCTACAGGAGTGCCGGGACGGTCGGCCCCTGCTCACAAACAGCGCCACGGGGTCTTGCTCGGGTGATCGTTGTCTTATCCCTCGTTTTGCCGATCGGCGCGGACACTCGCACCCCCCCCTCCCCCCCATCGGGAGTGGATCTTGGCTGCCTTTGGCGCCTGTTTCGAGCAGGTGGAGACCCTCCCTCATAGGACGCACGGTTGCAGACGGTCGCGTTAAGCAGAGGTCCGGAGCCAGATCTTTCCCCCTCCCCCCCTCTTCCACCCAATGTCGAGACGCCGGA